ACTGCTGTGCCTGCAGACCATGACAAGCAACTCCTGCCTCCTCCTGTATTTAGTGCATTTCTCCTGGCTGCTTCTTAAAGAGACTCAAGAGAGAAGATAAAACAACCCCTCCTCCCACACCCAAGCCCAGTGTGATGATTGCCGTGTGGGTGGATGTGTTTGATCTTGCATCTCCACCCCTGGTGAAGCTCTTTCTCCCTTTGCTTTTGCAGATGCTCCAAGCGCAATGCGCAGTTAGGATTTAGGGCAGGGACTCTTTGGCTGCCAGAAATCATCTGCTGAGTGCCTGCCATGCAGCTTCTGGTTTCCCAAAACCATGCTCAGCTATAGAGATAAAACAGTTATTTTTTCTGGCCCCCGTGAGCCAGCGTGAGCATCGTGTCCAAGAACAACGAAGCCTGCCAATGCCAGTAATGCCTCTAATGTTAGGCATGCCCGTAAGCCAGTATCTTCTATTCAAGAAGTTGCCTGAGAATTCCTGAAATCTATGGTGTCATTAATTTTTCCAAACCGACGTGTTCATATTATTCAGCTTACTGTAAGTATTTACTGAGTCCTGGAGCGCAGCAAGGAAGCAACTCTTCCTGCTGGTGAGTTTTTCAGCTGGGCATTTATTTGTTGCTTCGCTGTAACTGGGGAGCTCCTTGTGCACAGAACAGCTGCTCCTCTGCCAAGGACTGATGGGCTTGCCCAGTGCTGAGCTTTTGAGTTTTGGTGCTCAAACTCTGCTGCATCTGTGCCGACAACCCATCTCTGTGGAAATTACCAGTTTCTGGATGGTGCTGCCTACATTGCTCTGAACGGGTAACAAAATAAATAAGGGAATAACTAGGCTGTAACAAATACTGTGGAGATATCTAGGATATGGCCATCCTGAAATTACGCCATGAAGTTCTGCTTGTCGCTACCAGTCCTCTCGCACCCACGGTGCTCAGGTCTAGAACTGATCCCGTACAGAGCAAAGCAAAAATCCCCTTGAATCAGGTGCTGAATGCCACCTGCCTTCCTTGCTGTGCCTTAGTGCGGCTGTACGTGGAACCAGACGTTTTAGCATCTTAAGCCTCAGCCACGTCCACTTGGGAGTGGAACAGCGGTCAGTTAGCAAAGCTTTGCCTGACTGGCAGCGGCATTTTAAGTTCCCGCGCAGCAGCCAGTGTGTGTTCCAGGTGACCAACAGTGTAATTCTTGCTTTTTGGGAAGAGCCTCTCTTCAGCCTGAGAATTTGGAAATGGTAGGAGATCCCTACAAAACCAGTTGGTGAGGCAGAGCCTGCGGGCCACTGTATGGGCAGAGGTGGAAACATCTGTGAGCAGCTTTTCTTGCTGTCTGAGCTGGAGCTGGAGCTGGAGCAGGCTACGGGGGTGCCTGGGCGCTGTCCCCAACCCGTATGCTGTGGGAGGGACAGAATCACAAAATGCTGGGAGTTGGAAGGAACCTTGAAAGATCCCCCAGTGCCACCCCCTGCCAGAGCAGGGTCACCCAGGGCAGCCCCACAGGAACGCGTCCAGGCGGGTTGGAAAGTCTCCAGAGCAGGAGACTCCACACCCTCTCTGGGCAGCCTGGGCCAGGGCTCCGGCACCCGCACAGGGAAAAAGTTTTTTCTAATATTTCTGTGGAACCTCCTGTGTTCCAGCTTGTACCCATTGCCCCTTGTCCTGTCACTGGACATCCCTGAGCAGAGCCTGGCTCCGTCCTCCTGACACTCCCCCTTGACATATTTATAAACATTTATGAGGTCACCCCTCAGGCTCCTCTTCTCCAGCTGCAGAGCCCCAGCTCCTCCAGCCTTTCCTCCCCAGGGAGGTGGCTGCTGGCTGCAGGTGTCTCGGTGAGCCTGGAGGAGAATCCTGCCTGGCCGAAGAGCTGAGGGTGCGGCAGAAGCAGGGTGGGCTCCCTGCCCGCTTGCAGGGCAGAGTGGGTGCTCGGGAGGAGCAGGCGGCAAAGCCGGCGCTGCCCATTTCCCTGAGGCTGAGAACCATCAGCCGGGATCGGTTTTTAGTGCAGGCCCTTGG